AGTGCAAGCACGAGAGAGGGGGGAGAGCAAGTCTCATCACCTCAGGCAGACATCTCAGCTTCTCTAGCCTAAGCTACTAGTTGAGGGTCTTAGCCACCTGCACTGCTGATTTCCCCACATGAATAGTCACATGGACATTCCCCTGATTGGGCACCTTCAGGCACCTTTTTTTTTTTTGGCTGGGGCTGAGTTTGAACCTGCCACCTCCGGCATATGGGGCCAGCGCCCTACTCCTTTGAGCCACAGTGCCACCCCCATCAGGCTCCTTTTCAGTGAGGAGTACAGGGTGGCCCTCTTGCGGGCTTTACCCTGGCTTTCGAAAGCCCACAAATTAGCCTATGGTAAAATTGGTTTCTTTTTCTTTTTTTGAGACGGAGCCTCAAACTATCCCCCTGGGTAGAGTGCCATGGCATCATACTCACAGCAACCTCCAACTCCTGGGCTCAAGTGAGTCTCCTGCCTCAGCCTCCCAAGTAGCTGGGAACACAGGCGCCCGCCACAACGCCTGGCCATTTTTTGGTTGCAGCCATCATTGTTGTTTGGCGGGCCCAGGCTGGGGATTCGAACCCGCCATCTTAGGTGTATGTGGCTGGCGCCTTAGCCGCTTGAGCCACAGGCGCCGAGCCTGTGAGGTTTTTTTATGTGCCTTTAGCTTGAAGTTGCAATTTGCAAGAACTTATTCACAATGTTGGAGACTTAGTTTGTTGATTAGAAATGTTAATGTGTGTAAGGCAACCACTAGAGTCCCTGGCAGAAACAATGTAGTACGAGTAACTGCTGGTATTGAGAGCCAAACGTCTTTACATATAACAGCAGTAGGCGCCTAGCTGCCAGTCCCTGCGTATTGGCTGGGACTCCCGCCCTGGCCAGACCCTGGGCTGGACTCTGCGATGGTGGTGGTGGTGGGGGGGAGCTTTGTGTTTTCTGGGACTGTCACTCGGCCCTGGGTGTAAATGCGACCTGTTTCTGGGTGCCTTAGGGCCACAAAAGAGGGTCTGTGTGGGCCCTTCTGGGAACGCTGAGCGGGAGTCAGGCTTACAGCAGGCATTGGAAGGCTCGTGGCAGGTAATGGCTTTGGAAATCAACCAAGGAACGAGGACAAAGTCCAGAGGCAGAGGAACCCGTGGCACTGAGGGAATGGAGGACGCAGTGCACCCCCTGGAGGGCAGCCAGGCATGCTGACCTGGGATGGGGGGCGGGGCGTCAAGGTCTTAGTCGCGGTCCTCCGAGCTGTAAGCATCTCAGGACGCGAACCTTTCTTGAAACATTGGGCTCTGTCGCCCTCACTTGTGTGACTTCTTGGAACAGCTGCCTCTCATTTACCTCCTTTTCCTCCTCTGTATAATATGGTCTGTTTGAGCCACATTAAAAATGTTATTAACATTTCAGCCTTTGGAGACCTATCAAAAGCCCACATTTCCTGTACTCCCCTGAAAGATCAGGAAGACTCGGCCACCCTGGCCCTTCTGCTCAGCAGCAGTTGCCTTGAACTGAGTTATTGACCTCACCTTCTGGCTGGCTTCACTCCTTTCATGCCGTAGGTGACTAACTAGGATCCCAATCTAGATCAGTTGGAAGCACAAACACACGCATGTGCACAAGGAATTACACAAGGCCAAAGGGAATGTGCTGGACTTGTGAAACATCAGTGTATGTGCAGAACACAGATGGGGACACTGGTTGCTACAATCTGCAACCTTCCACTTGGAATGCAGACTGTCCATTTGGGCATCAAAGGCAATGTCAGTGCTATAGGACTAAGGCTGATTGCCTGGGGTCATTGAACCCTGTGGGAGAATGCTTTCTGGCTTTATTGAACAACTAGTCTAGTGAAGACTAGGCTTTACTAAACAACTATTATATTTCATGTCAAAATGGGGCCTTGGCTCGCCACCTGTGGTTCAAGTGGCTAAGGTGCCAGCCACATACACCTGAGCTGGCGGGTTCTAATCCAGCCCAGGCCCACCAAACAACAATCACAGCTGCAACTGAAAAATAGCCGGGCGTTGTGGCAGGCACCTGTAGTCCCAGCTACTTGGGAGGTGGAGGCAGGAGAATCACTTGAGCCCAGGAGTTGGAGGTTGCTGTGAGCTATGATGCCACAGCACTCTACCCAGGGTGACAGCTTGAGGCTCTGTCTCAAAACAAATAAAAATGGGGCTTTATTTATTAAATCAGCAAAACAAAGAAAAATATGTCATTAGATGGGCTTAAAAATGACATTTTTTATTTTTAATTTTTTTAGAGATAGAGTGTCACTTCTTGGTCCTGGGTAGAGTGCCATGGCATCATAGCTTACAGCAACCTCAAACTCCTGGGCTTAGGTGATTCTCTTGCCTCAGCCACCTGAGTATCAGGGACTACAGGCACCCGCCACAACGCCCAGCTATTTTATTGTTGCAGTTTGGCTGGGGCCAGGTTCGAACCCACCACCCTTGGTATATGGGGCCAGCACCCTACTCATTGAGCCCCAGGTGCCGCCCCCCAAAAATAACATTTAAAAAAATTATTTTTAAGCAGCATTCTTTTGTATTTTAATAATCCTGCATTTAAGATCAGTTAGTTAAATATTTAAAAGTTATGACTATAGTCCCAGTTACTTTGGAGGCGAAGCAGGGCATCACTTGAACCCAGGAGTCTGAGGTTGCTGTGAGCTAGGCTGATACCATGGGACTCTAGCCTGGGCAGTAGAGTGAGACTTTGTCTCAAAAGAAAAAAATGAATAAATAAAATGGGGCTCGGCACCTGTAGCTCAAGCGGCTAAGGCACCAACCACATACACCAGAGCTGGTAGGTTTGAATCCAGCCTAGGCCTGCCAAATAACTACAACTAAAAAGTAGCCAGGCTTTGTGGCAGGTGCCTATAGTCCCAGCTACCTGGGAGTCTGAGGCAAGAGAATTGCTTAAACCCAGGAGTTGGAGGTTGCTGTGAGCTGTGATGCCACCACACTCTACCCAGGGTGACAGCTTGAGGTTCTGTCTCAAAAAAAAAAGGCTTGGCGCCCTTAGCTCAGTGGTTAGGGTGGTGTCGACCACATGCACCCGGGTAGGTAGGTTTGAGCCTGGCCGAGTCTGCTAAACAATGACAACTACAACAAAAAAATAGCCTGTGGCGGGTGCCTGTAGTCCCAGCTACTTGGGAGGCTGAGGCAAGAGAACCACTTAAGCCCAAGAGTTGGAGATTGCTGGGAGCTGTGATGCCACAGCACTCTACTGAGGGTGACATAGTGAAACTCTGTCTCAAAAAAAAAAAGATAAAGGCTTGGCGCCTGTGGCTTAAGTGGCTGAGACGCCAGCCACATACACCTGGGGTGGCAGGTTCGAGTCCAGAACCCACTGGACAGGCAACAATGACAGCTGCAACCAAAAAATAGCCAGGCGTTGTGGTGGGCGCCTGTGGTCCCAGCTATTTGGGAGGCTGAGGCAGGAGACTCTCTTGAGCCCAGAAGTTGGAGGGTGCTGTGGCTGTGATGCAACATCACTCTACCCGGGGCACAGCTTGACGCTCTGTCTCAAAAAAAAAAAAAAAGATAAAATGGTGAATTTTATATTATCTGAATTTTATAATAACCAAAATAAGTTAAAAACACATGAAACAGGCTCAGCCCCTGTAGCTCAGTGGCTAGGGCACCAGCCACATATACCAGAGCTGGCAGGTTTGAATCCAGCTCAGGCCAGCTAAACAATGACAACAGCCCCCATTCCCTCCCCCACAAAAAAAGCTGGGCATTGTGGCCAGTGCCTGTAGTCCCAGCTACTTGGGAGGCCGAGGCAAGAGAATTGCCTAAGCCCAAGAATTGGAGGGTGCTATGAGCTGGGACATCATGGTACTCTACCAAGGGTGACAGTGAGACTATGGGTGACATAGTCTCAAAAAAAAAAAAAAAAAGAAAAGAAAAAAAGAAAAGAAACTCACTGCTGCTCCTGCTGTGACACAAGGGTAACCTGGGACCTGGAGCCTGTTCTAACGCAAAAAAAAAGAAAAAACAAAAATTATATCTGATACACTGGGTCGCATGGCTAATTCCTATAACCCCAGCACTATGCAAGGCAGAGGTAGGAAGATTGAGGACAGAGTTTGAGACTAGCTTGGGCAACAGAGCAAGACCTCCTCTCTACAAAAGAGTAAAAATTAAGCCAGGTGTGGTAACACCTACCTAAAATCACAACAACTCAGGAGACTCAGTGGAGGATCCTTTATGTATAGGACTTCAAGGCTGCAGTGAGCTATGGTCATGTCACTACACTCCAGCCTGGGTGACAGAATAAGTGACACTGTCTCTTAAAAAAAACAAACAACAAAACACTCGAAAACTTTTTATTCTCTTTTTTACAAAATAGCAAAAGGCAAGCATGCCTGAAGTTTAAAGTCTACGGAATATTGCATTGGCCAGATGACTTGAGAACAAACAGTAGTCTTAGGGTAAAGAAAGGTATTTGCCCTGTCACAGTGGCAGTAGCAAGGCAGTAAGCCCCAAAGCACAGCACAGGCCCTGTTAAAGGAGCATCCAAGTGGATAAAGGGGGCCGAATTAAATGGGACAGGATGATATTTTGAGATGTCTGACTTTGTTCTTTCTCCTTGGAATTTCACTCCCTGGCCCTGCCCCGTAGGTAAGGCAGCCAAGTTCAAAATGCTCCAGAGGGAAGTGAAAGAAAAAGCAGAAACAAAAGACCACGGAGGGAAAGAAAAATTATGAGTCACCTATAAAGCAATAAAGTAATAGTAATATGATTGTGTACGTGTTTCATAAAATTCCATCCTGATAAATCTCATCCTTATTCTGAAATTTAGGTGGGAGACTGGAATTTAGGTGGAACTAGAACAGGGACATACCGATAGACCGTATCACCCCAAAGAGGCTACTAGAAACAAATGGGCTACTACCTGGAAACAAGTGTTCAAACTTAAGTCTATTTTTAAACTAAACAAGGCCAGAGAGATCTGGATTGACATATTCTATCTATAATTAAACTAAGAGTTATTTGAGCTACTTACTGAGAATAAGTAAGCAGATTTTCATCCATCTTTCCTAGAGCATATAATGAGTGTTTGTTCTTTAATATAGTAGCTATATTACAGTTTTAACCTTATGATCTACAAAACGTCTGGTGAACAAGATTAACAAACTGGAAATGATAATACATTCTAAGACACTCTTTAGGAAGGACAGGAACTCTGCTGACTCATATTATGAATTTGAGCTGGGATCTAATTTGTTCATAGATTTTGTTATCCTGATGTTCATATATATATTATACCACATGGAGAGGGTCCCTGTCTGTCTCTGACAGGATAATATTAATCTTATTCTCCAAGTGAGTACCCAGCATATCCCGAAGGTCAGAAAGAAAGCCTCGTTCTGTGTTGCTATGTTCACAAAGGATGACATTTATTCCTTGGGAAGCAGCATCCAGAACGTCATGATGGGACATCTCACCTGCCAAAAAGGAAAGAGCAAATACTTACATATTAGACATGGAATGTGGGGAATGCTAAATCACAACAGCAGAAATACTGAATTTATATTCTGCATAAAGTAAATGTAATACTATAGAATTACTGTACACATAAATCTAGAAGGCTATGTACAGTTTTCTTATATGTCTTTCAACTTAAAACAAGAGAGAGACCATCCCACTGAGAATTCCAACTTCTTTCTCTATAGTAAAGCCCAAGACAAGTATCTAAACCAGCATATTTAGTCAGAACCAGATCTGTATACACCCATTCAAAGTGTTTTCATAATAAAATGAATAAACAATGCTAAGCAAAGCAGGGCTTTTGGAAAGCCTGCTTCTTATGTAAGTAATAAACACCTCAGGAGAAAATCCTAGGTATACTTCCCAGAAGACTTTTATGCTTTAAGAGCTCCAATATTTTCACCATCAACCTTAGTCCAACTCAAAAGGATGAAATGAGTTTATGATTATTTCCACATTAAAAACAAAGCATTTTTCTTTGACTTAGGCAAAATTTCTGGAAATTCTCAAGTTATTAGCAGAAGGGGACCTTTTTTTTGACAGGAGCCTCAAGCTGTCCCCCTGGATAGAGTGCTATGACATCACAGCTCACAGCAACCTCCAACTCCTGGGCTCTAGCGAGTCTCCTGCCTCAGCCTCCCGAGTAGCTGGGACCACAGGGGCCATGCCACAATGCCCGGTTATTTTTGGTTGCAGCCATCATTGTTGTTTGGCGGGCTGAGCTGCATTCGAACCCACCACCTTAGGTGTGTGTGGCTGGCACCTTAGCCACTTGAGCCACAGGCGCCGAGCCAGCAGAAGGGGATCTTGTATGTTCTAAAAGACCTGGGGAAAATTCCAATACACTGTTTTGAATTTTTATGAATACATTTGTATTTAAATAAATAAATCCGTTTGTGAATTTTATGGCTTCTAATTTAAGAGCAAACATGCATTTTACACAATTTCTTTTCTGTGTAAAAGCATAATTTTTAACTATTAAATACAATTAGAAACATAAGGTATAAGAAAGAAAAAACATAAATGAGTTTGTTTATTCCCAGAAATTTTCAGTTCCTCACACTTTCCCCCCCAGTATGTGTCATTTCACTATAGGAATTGTTTTTATTCATGTACCTTTTAAAATATTTTATCTATAATAGGAAAGTAAAAAGGGAGGAAAAAACACTCAGCTGGCCTAGGTAGAAGCCATGCTTTAGGAAAAGAGGCTTCCTGGACTATTATGAACTCACTAGCTGGAGAAGACATGAAAGTGGGGACACAGTGAAGACTCTGCAATATTTGAAGCCAAAGGAAAGAATGGCTCAGGATGGCTGCTACAGGAACAAAGGAGCGACTAGAAAATGACAAGAGCTAAGCGAGAGAAAATTTACATTTGCAAGGAGCAAGCTCCCCATCTGCTGGTCTTTATAGGATATTACCCTTAACCTATTACCACACAAACACTGACGGGGCCTCGGGCTCACAGGAAGGGTGGTGAGCTTTGGCAGAAGCCAATATTTGGTCCTTTAGCTAGTGCTTCGACCCCTGAAGTATATTCAGAGTGATGGTCCTTGTTCTTAGGTGATTACATGCTATAAGGTCATTATTTCTGCAATTTATTCCAAAATGGTTCTGGAAAAATACATAAAAATTATATCTAGGGTGGCACCTGTGGCTCAGTGGGTAGGGTGCCGGCCCCATATACCAAGGGTGGCGGGTTCAAACCTGGCCCCAGCCAAATTGCAACAAAAAAATAGCCAGACATTGTGGTGGGCACCTATAGTCCCAGCTACTCGGGAGGCTGAGGCAAGAGAACTGCCTAAGCCTAGGAGGTGGAGGTTGCTGTGAGCTGTGTGACACCATGGCACTCTACCTAGGGTGACAAAGACTCTGTCTTTACCAAAAAAAAAAAAAATATATATATATATATATGCGCACGTTTATGTATATATGTAAAAAACACATTTTTAATTCATACATTATGTGTATATACATGCATATATTCGCATCTATGTACATAGACAATTTTTGAAAAAGCCTAGTAAGTTACTCAATGATCAGCTCGGTGCCTGTGGCTCAAGCAGCTAAGGCGCCAGCCACATACACCTAAGGCAGTGGGTTCGAATCCCCAGCCCGGGCCCGCCAAACAACAATGATGGCTGCAACCAAAAAATGGTCAGGCGTTGTGGCGGGCGCCTGTAGTCCCAGCTACTTGGGAGGCTGAGGCAGGAGACTTGCTTGAGCCCAGAAGTTGGAGGTTGCTGTGAGCGTGATGCTTTCCTCCATAAAGAATAAAATACATCCCTAATGCTGGTGTAGTTCCTGTTTAATTGAGGTATTTATTAGACATCATCTATCTGCCAGGCACTGTCCTAAAATCTTCTTTTTTTTTTTGAGATAGAGCCTCAAGCTATCCCCCTGGGTAGAGTGCCATGGCTTCACAGCTCACAGCAACCTCCAACTCCTAGGCTCAAGCAAGTCTCCTGCCTCAGCCTCCCAAGTACCTAGGAACACAGGCGCCCACCACAACGCCCGGCTATTTTTTGGTTGCAGCTGTCATTATTGTTTGGCGGGTGCAGGCTGGATTCGAACCCACCATCTTAGGTGTATATGGCTGGCACTTTAGCCACTTGAGCCACAGGTGCCGAGCCAAATCTTCTATTTTTTGTATTTGTAAGAAGTAGACCATAGATGGGAAAGAGGGACACAAAGTCTACCCTACCTGTAAGGTAGAGGTCAGCCTCTACACCCTGCAGAACGCTGCTCCCAGAACCAGCACACAGGGCCACGACTTTGACTTGGGACTCTTCAAGATAAAGGAAACAAGAGACCAATGTTTTACAATTCCTTTTCATTTTAATAGTATAATTTGTACCAAAAATCCTTGATGTAATGCAGACTTCACTCTGCAATTCCAAGTATTCAGCATCTAAATTTCTAAAATGGACACTTCATTAGTGGTCACTGCAGTGTAGGACTGTGGTGTGTCAAGGCAGGGAGGGCTTTGGAGCTGGATCAAAATTCAGATCCCACCTCTGCCATCCACTTTTCTGGAAAGTAACTCCCATGAGTTGTTTGACCTAACTGTGTACTTTGAGACATTTTACTCCTTGAACCTCGATTTTGACCTGTAAATGGGAATAATTTTACCTGCCACATAGCTAACAACAGCTGGCCCTTCAACTGTACTTAACATGCACCAGTCACTATGCCATGTCACACAGACTATACGACCACTCTGGGACACAGAGGAGTTAAAAATCCTGTCAAAAGTCACACAGCAGATAGGACAAATTTGAACCCAGGTTGTCTGAACTCAGAATTCATATCCATAGCCACTGTGCCCCACTGCTGAGGCAGCAGAGAGCTAGGAAAGACTCAGGACAGTGCTGGGCTCACTGTCTGTATCCAACTAATGTTCATTCTTTTTGTTCTCCAAAATACTAAGAAAAACCAGAAGAGAAGACAGTGACTACAAGACTTAGAAACTACCAGGGATCAGAGCACTTAGCAGCCCCTCACTATAAAATATTACCCATCTTGGGGCGGTGCCTGTGGCGCAAAGGAGTAGGACGCCAGCCCCATATGCTGGAGGTGGTGGGTTCAGGTCCAGCCCCAGCCAAAAACCACACACACACACACACAAAATTACCCATCTTGTGAAGGGCAAAATTTATGTTGCAATTTGCACTTTAGGCCTTGCATGGGTTATACTGGGCAATGTGACTAATGTTGGAAGATGAGTTGAGCATAAGTCTTTTTTTTGTTTGTTTGAGACAGAGTCTCACTATGTCACCCTCAGTAGAGTGCCGTGGCATCACAGCTCACAGCAACCTCCAACTCCTGGCTCAAGCGAGTCTCCTGCCTCCGCCTCCCAAGTAGCTGTGACCACAGGTGCCCGCCACAATGCCCGGCTATTTTTTGGTTGCAGCCGTCATTGTTGTTTGGCAGGCTCGGGCTAGATTCGAACCCACCACCTTAGGTGTATGTGGCTGGCGCCTTAGCCACCTGAGCCACAGGCACCGAGCCAACCGATGGCTTTTTAAGACCCTCCAAAATGTTCTCTCTGTAATAGTGACCAAGTCTACCATCATTAGACTTTCTCTACTGACTTGAGATGAAAACACAGCATGACTGAGAACTAAACCTCACTGATTAAGTCAATCAGATGTATTACACAGTGGAACCTTGCTCACCCTGACAGATACAACATCTCCTATGAGCTGCTAATACTTTTTCTACCATTTACATTAATACAACCAAGAGTTTCAACTTTTATCCAATGTTATCAGTAGTTATATCAAATAAATGAAGGTGACATAATTACCTAAGGTCTTCCCTACTCCAAGAGCTAAGCGAATATGAGATAGTTTCAGGTGTCTTTTGATTCGTTCAATAAGGGTTGCCAAGGAGACAGATTCATCCAGTGTGCATAATCGTCCCATTCCAGTATGTAGAAGCAAAGGCTGAAAGGAAACATAAGTTAGAAATGCTGACCATTATCAGTCCTAAGAAAACAAACTTATTGAACAAACAGCAAATATTGAAATCAATAAAACATGCACATTATGAGCTTACTATAGCAAGCTCCATGCTAAAGTATGGGGTGCAAACTTAACAAAAACAGTTTTTGGTTTTTTTGAGACAGAATCTCAAGCTGTTGCCCTGGGTAGAGTGCTGTGGCATCATTGCTCACAGCAACCTCCAACTTGGGCTCAAGTGATCCTCTTGTTTTTCTATTTTTAGTACAGATGGGGTCTCGGTTTTGCTCAGGCTGGCCTTGAACTCGTGAGCTCAAGCAATCCACCCACGTTGGCTTAACAAAAACATTTTGGCTTCTAGGAGGGGGTGAGTTTTAAAGTGTTTAAACACAAAGTAGGTACTATTACTACAGGAGCACAATGTAATAAACTAAATAAGCTGGCCCTTGGGGGATAGTACTTGGAGGAAATACATTCAAAAAAAGTTTTATAAGGACTTGGGTCTTAGAGGAAAATCAAACAGAGTTAAAAAAAAAAAATTGTGGGGGAGTGTAAAGGCAGGTGCAGTACTGGCAGGATAAAGGTAGGATGAGCTGTGAAAGGCACGCTAACCAGAGAGAACGTACCAAGGTGCCAGAGGCCCAGGAGAATCCTTGTAAGGGCTCATAAGTAGCCAGCTGATATGGAGAGCATGTGATGGGGAAGGAGGTTGGGGCTGGAGCAGATCATTAAGCATTTCCCACAGTGTGCTCAAAAGCCTGGACTTTCTTCTGTAGACACCCAGTGAGGAGACTACTAATATCCCAAGAGAAGAAAGATGAGTTTCAACTACTGTGGTGGCAGAGCTACCAAAGGGGAGAAAAAACACTGAGGGACAGACTTAGCAGGGCTTGCACTTACAGGAGCAAAGGAAGAATGGTGAAACTTGGAGAATAAAGTAGACAACAATACCTTACTACAAAATAGAATAAAACAATGGATATTAAGGGGTGGCTGGGGATAAAGTCCTTTTGTATGTACTGTATGTAAAACACTTGTGGGCTCAGTAAGTAGAAGACCAGAAAGTAGTCAAAGGCTGGGTGAGGTGGCTCATGCCTGTACTTGTAGCCCTTTGAAATTTGAGGCTGCGCGTTCAAGACTAGCCTGAGCAAGAGATCCCCATCTTTACAAAAGATAGAAAAATTAGCTGAGCATGGTGGCATACACCTGTAGCCCAAACTACTAGGGAGGCTGAGGTAGGAGGATGCTTGAGTGTTGCTGTAAGAGTCTCACGAAAAAGCAATGTCACGAAGAATAAGCACGCTTATTGAAATTGTGTTTTAAATAAAGGTGCTCAGCTCAGGCTGCTCACTCAGGCAAAATGGCAAGCTTTCTTTATTTGCTGTTGGTTTATATAGGCAATCTTGTGCATGTGCACTATGCAGCAATGACCTCATTAATCCATTTAAACATCTTATGACCACCTGCCCTGTAAGTAGCTCCTCCCTGGTAATCTGATAATCCACCCAACATACACCTTTAAGCATAACCCTTTTAACATAACCCGGTTTAACATAACTTAATGAAGAACATGTTGTCAATTATTACTTTCTTTGTTCTTATCTGATGAAGCCTGAGGCTATGGGGGAAAGAGACAATGTGACCGTCTGTTCTAACTGACCATGCCATTTGGAGGCAGATACTTTGAATCTTTAAGCAAAGCATAGAGAAACTTCTTGGGCATATAGAAGTTTGTGTGCAAACCTCTGCTCCCATGTAGGCCTTAAGTCAGGAGGGTTTTGCTGGAGACTTTTATAAGGAATTCTCAGGCTGGATTTCTCAAAAGCCTTTCATGAGCCCAGGTTTTATCTGTGCCATTAGATACCTGTATGCATTGGGTAAATTCCTCTTCTCTTGAGGTCCCCTAGCACATTTCCATTCCCAGACCCATCAGCAAGCGACCTTCATCACTTACCACAGATCAGGAAAGGTTACTGATGGGTATCTGGCCAGTTTTCTGAAGGGCTTTTTCATTGGCCTTATAAAGTCAACCTTAATTCCTAACACAGTCTGGAAATGCTATTCCAGCCAAAGCCTTGGTCATGTTAGGCCCACAACTAACCTGGCCACATGGGATTCTGCCTCAGTTTCATACAAGTATGCCTGCACAAAGTCTTTTCACTGCTCTCTCTCAAACGGCTTTTTTGGCCAGATGCATATAGGTGTTTCACCTATACTTGAGCCCAGGAGTTTGAGCTGTGATGATGCCACCACACTGTAGCCTGAGTGACAGAATAAGAGCCTGCCTCAATAAAAAACAAAAAGCAGGCAGGGCACAGTGGGTCACACCTGTAGTCAAAGCACTCTGGGAGGCTGAGGCAGGTGGATTGCTTGAGCTCCAGGAGTTCGAGACCAACCTGAACAAGAACGAGACCCTTGTCTCTAAAACAAGCCAAACATTATGACAGGTGCCTGTAGTCCCAGCTATCTGGGAGGCTGAGGCAAGAGGATCACTTGAGCACAAAAGTTTGAGGTTGCTGTGAGCTATGCCTCTACTGCACTCCATCAAAGGTGACAAAGTGAGAGTCTGTCTCTAGAAATAAAAAAAATAAATAAAACACAAAATAGTTGGAAATTCTCTTATATGCACTTTTTTTTTTTTTAACCTCAAGAAAGCATTCTGACACAGAAAGTAAAGATAGAAGAATTATCACCACACGAATGGCTGTCAAGTGAGAAGTGTGAATAACATGGTCCAAGGAAAGGGTTATTTTAAGAAGAGATCAAACCAAACCTATAACCAAGTCTGTAACCCTGAAGAAGTACCAACACATTCCTATTCCTGGAATGCCTCCCTTTCAATGTACTTTCCAGGGAATATTAGTGTGGGGCAAGACGAAGTTGTTTGATCTTTCTTGTCCACAGTTCTGCTAGAAGTTACTGTAGTTTTCCTAGCCATAACTGGGCATGTTTGTAATGTCATGATTATGTAACTGCTGGCTGCCACTTTGCCACTTTTGTTCCCCTGGATATGTAAGCGCACAGGACCTTCCGCTTGGACAGACTTCCCATGCTTGATCTCCCATGGCAAGCTGAATAAAGCCATGTCATACTGGCCCTCAGTTCCTAAGTTTTTTGTCAGCCTGTCTGATTCGGATCATTTGCGTGACAATTATGTTCTCACTGCCACTTTATACTTCTTAGGTAATAGTTAATGGCCTGTTGATCTAACAATTCATGAGGGACAGGCCAGTGGCTCACACCTATAATCCTACCACACTGGGGAGGCCAAGACAAAAGGAATGCTTGAGCTTAGGAGCTCAAGACCAGCCTGAGCCAGAAGAGACCCCATTTCTAAAAGCAGCCAGGTGTTGTGCTGGGCACCTGCAGTCCCAGCTCTGTAGTCCCAGTTACTAAGGAGACTGAGGCAAGAGGACCACTCAAACCCAGGAGTCTGAAGTTACTGTGAGCTATGACACTACAGTACTCTACCCAAGGCAATAGAGTGAGACTGTGTCTCAAAAAAACAAAACAAAGCAAAAAAACAATTTATAAATGAATTTGCTGAGGAAAAATGCAGAGAAATGAAACTCAAATTGTATGCACTAAACATGTGTGATTCTTGGTGAACCAGTTACACTTCAATAATGCTGTGAGGAAATGCCCAGCCATACAAGATCAAATGCTAAAACATTTTTATTACCTTCTCCAGTGACAGAATTTCAGTCTTCTGATAAAGCTGTTTGTTCTGGGAGAGAAAATCCACCACCTGCATCAAAGTCTTCTGAGTACAATTTACACTGATCCGTGTTTGGTCTTCATCATCAATCCTAGAGATCACTCATTAATTTAGGATAAATATAACCAAAATGTATTTTTAAAACCCCCCAGTTTACATACCTGCTATGATGGGAGATTAGATTAACATGGAACTAAGGATTTAACCAACCCATTTAATCCCAAACCAATCCATTTTCTAGAAGTGTTTCTCAAACTTTGGTATGCATCTGAATCACAGGGGTTTTTATTGAAACAATGCTGACTCTACCTGGAGCTTCTCGTCTAGGTGAAGGTCTGAGAATTCACCTAACAAGTTTCAGGTGATGGCAATGTTGCTGGTCCAGGGACCTCACCTGGAAACCATTGTTCTAGAACTGTTCTTAATCTCAATTGTGCATCAGCAATTGGCTCTGCTGGGCAGGGTAGTGCATGCCTGTAGTCTCAGCTATTTGGGAGGCTTCAGCCCAAAAGTTTGAGACTACAACGAGCTATGATCGTATCACTGCACCCCAGCCTGGGTAACAGAACAAGAAAAAACACCATTGCAAATGTCCTGAAATAGTTGAGGGAATTAAAATAAAAATTATCCAGAGATGTTGGTATCTTTCCAAACATGTACAGGGTCATGAAGAAATATATAGTTTTGTTTTACACATTTTTTTCTTAATGATATGCTGTCTCTGCCTGTTTTTTTGAGACAGAGCCTTAAGCTGTCCCCCTGGGTAGAGTTCTGTGGCCTCACAGCTCACAGCAACCTCTAGCTCCTGTGCTCAAGTGATTCTCGTGCCTCAACCTCCCAAATAGCTGGGACCACAGGTGCCCACCACAACGCCTGGCTATTTTTTGGTTGCAGCCATCATTGTTGTTTGGCGGGCTCGGACTAGATTCAAACCTGCCAGCTCAGGTGTATGTAGCTGGCGCCTTAGCCGCTGGAGCCACAGGTGCTGAGCCTCTTTGCTTTTTTTTTAACGAACAGGAGAGGTCTTAGAGATCTTTCTATGTAAGTGTATACAATCTCCTTTTTCTTTCTTTCTTTCTTTTTGAGACAGAGTCTTACTATGTCACCCTTGGTAGAGTGCTGTGGCATCACAGCTCACAGCAACCTCAAACTCTCAGGCTTAAGCAATTCTCTTGCCTCAGCCTCCTGAGCAACTGGGACTACAGGCGCCCACCGCAACGTTTTTTTGTATTAGAGAAAATATCTGGGTTTTACCATTAGACGGAGGTCCAGACATTGTTTTTCCTTCTTTTCTCAAAGTTCCAAAGATGATTCCAGTGTTGACAATTATGCTTCCAGGTTATCTTTAAAAGAGTCCTTTAAGGCCAGGTGGGGTGGCTCACGCCTGTAATCCTAGCACTCTTGGAGGCTGAGGTGGTGGATTGCCTGAGCTCACAAATTTGAGACCAGCCTGACCAAGAGTGAGACCCCGTCTCTAAATATAGCTGGGAGTTGTGGAGGATGCCTATAGTCCCAGCTACTCGGGAGGCTGAGGCAAGAGAATTGCTTAAGCCAAAGAGTTTGAGGTTGCTGTGAGCTATGACACCAGAGCACTCCACTGAAAAGTAAAACTCTAAAACTCTGTCTCAAAAAAAGAAAAAAACAAACTTTCTTTCTTTTTGAGACAGAGTCTCACTTTGTTGCTTTGGCAGAGTGCCCTGGCATCATAGCTCACAGAAACCTCAAATTCTGGGCACAAGCGATTCTCTTGCCTCAGCATCCCAGGTATCTGGGACTACAGGCACCTGCCACAATGCCCAGGTGGGGGTTGGTGGGGGTGGTCTCGCTCTTGCTCAGGCTAGTCTCGAACTCGTGAGCTCAGGCAATCCACCTCAGCCTCCCAAGTGCTGGGATTACAGGTGTAAGCCACCACTCTCGGCCATAAATAACGAATTTTCTTGATGTCTATCTTTTTGGAGAGGCTCTAAGGCATTGCTTCTCAGAGGGTGATTCAAGAACCTCCTGCCTCATTGTTAATGTGGTATATACAAAAGATGCAGATTGCTGGCTTCATCCTAGATCTGTGTAATTATAATGGGGTTTGCCTGCCTTGTGTTCATTCAGTAATATTTTTTTTTTTTTTT